AGTACTGAGCACAGTTTATATACGCTGTCAAGGCTCAAGAGAGAGATATAGAGGTATAGCTTGTAGTCTAGGCGCTGCATTGACTGGCTATTGGCTGAGAGAGGAAAACTATGACAGCCTGGGAAGACGCTTTAGCTGATCCTAACTGGACGCTATCGCCCCTCTTCACCCCCACCACCCACCCATCCAGAAGCCTAAAAGGTAGAACCATTGTTACTGTAAGGATTGGCACATCATATAAACCCATATAAACCCCAACCTCCACCCCACCCCCCAAAGAACCTAAAAGGTAGAACCATTGTTGCTGTCAGGATTGGAAGGCGTGGCACCTGGCGACATCCCCAGTCTCCAGGTGGAGCACTTGGTGACATTGACGTCCACTTGGTGACATCGACGTCCAAGTTGCGTGGCAGGCGTGGCATTTGGTGACATCGACCTTCGCTTTGTGTGGCAGGCGTGGAACTTATGGCACTGGCACATGATGTGAACCCTAAACCCCCTCCACCCCCCGCCCCACCCCCCTAAAAGGTAGAACCATTGTAAAATGAAAGACAATTGCATTGTAAGGTGGCTCATGGTCTCGTTGTATGTACTGCTTTGCACGTAATTAGCAGGTAATTCATAGGGGTTCACAGACATTTCGTCCCAAGTGATCGGCAAAAATGCAGGGCTACAATTTCGTCGCAAGTGATCGGCAAATTTCGTCGCATGTGAATGGCAGACCTATAAGGACTACATTTCTCATTGGGACCTTTTTTTGGTAGAGGCATTGCTTTGGAACGCGCGAGGCTTCCAAAGTGCTGCGCCTGTCAGTAAATCTGATGTTTGGTTTATTGGCTGTGGTCTGATGTGATGTAGCATTTTGTGTTTCACAGCTATGCCAAAATGGCTGTGTTCCAAAGGGATGCTTTTGACTGTGTTCCAAAGTGATCCTGTTACCGTCCCTGGGTCCCTGTCGCAGGTCACCAAACGAGGTGACCCGGAGATGGCGGTGGAGAATCCGGACGCCTTGCAGGTCGAGACTTGCCTTGGAAGGTAGATGCAAGATGTATATTATGTGTATACTATTGATGTATGATGATGGATGATGATTGACAAAGAAGATGATGATGATGATGATGATGATGATAATGACGATGACGATGATGATGATGATGATGACGACGAAACGTTCTACTGTAAAAAAAAGCAATACGTCCAGTTACTGATGATCTGGTGGTTTTAGCAACCAAATATAGTCGGGAGAGTTGTAATGTCGACCCCAGATTGACACAGCCTTGTGGTTAACTGGGGAATATTGGAGGGTACCATCCAAATAGTGAGTTTATTTGCTACCAGTAGTACCGCACAAGGCGGTGGCGGAAATTTCAAAAATAGGAAACCTATAGGAGAGATTGGTTGTTGTGAATCAGGGATGGCAGAGCGAAGCCACTGATGGACCGAAAGGTGTTTGAGGTCTCCTCTCTTTCTTTTTCTCTGACTTCTACCTCCCTACCTACCTATCTATCTATGTATGTATTTATCTATCGATCTCTCTCTCTCTCTTTCATCTAATTACCTATCTATCTATCTATCTATCTATCTATCTATCTATCTCTCTCTCTCTCTCTCATCTGTCTATCTGTCTAGCTGGCTACCTGTCTATCTGTCTATCTATCTGTCTACCTGTCTACCTGTCTATCTGAGGTGCAGTGTCATTCAGTGTAATGTAGTGTAGTGTAATGTAGTGTGGTGTAGTGGATTGTAGTGGAATGTAGTGTAGTGTAGTGTAGCGTAATTTAGGGTAGTGGACTGTAGTGGAGTGTAGTTGTGTAGTTATAGTTGTAGTGTAGTGGAGTGTAGTGTAGTGAAGTGTAGTGGAAGGTAGTGTAGCGTAGTGTACTGTAGTGGACTGTAGTGTAATGTAGTGTAGTGTAGTGTAATTTAGTGTAGTGTAGCGGAGTGTAGTGTAATGTAGTGTAGTGTAGTGTAGTGTAATTTAGTGTAGTGGAGTGTAGTGTAGTGGAGTGTAGTTGTGTAGTCGTAGTTGTAGTTGTAGTGTAGTGGAGTGTAGTGTAGCGTAATGTAGCATAGTGGAGTGTAGTGTAGTGTAATGTATTGTAGTCTAGTGAAGCGAAGCGAAGCGAAGCGACATCTGAACCTCCAAAAGTGGTCCGAACCCCAAGTGTTTTGTACATTTTGACTTCGAAATGTGCTTCGCGCCACAACGGTATGCACTTTTTCGACATCTGAACCTCCAAAAGTGGTCCAAACCCCTAGTGCTTTGAACATTTTGACTTGGAAATGTGCTTCGCGCCACAACGGCGTGCACTTTTTCGACATCTCAACCTCCAAAAGTGGTCCGAACCCCTAGTGGTTTATAAATTTTGACTTGGAAATGTGCTTCGCGCCACAACGGCGTGCACTTTTTCGACATCGCAACTTCCAAAAGTGGTCCGAAGCTGATGTGCTTTGTACATTTTGACTTGGAAATGTGCTTCGCGCCACAACGGCATGCACTTTTTCGACATCGCAACTTCCAAAAGTGGTCCGACGCTGAGGTGCTTTGTACATTTTGACTTCGAAATGTGCTTCGCGCCACAATGGCGTGCACTTTTTCTACATCTCAACTTCCAAAAGTGGTCCGAACGTGGTGTGTTTTGTACATTTTGACTTCGAAATGTGCTTCGCGCCACATCGGCGTGCAATTTTTCATCTCTCCTCTGGCCAGCTGGCTCCGCACCCGCCGCTTTAGCGAGCCTACTTTTCGACCCTCCGGAGCCACAAATCATTGGAAAAACACAGCGTTTCGCGACTTTCCTACCTTTTCGCGCATCTGCATCTTCTTTCTTCTTACTCTTCTTTCTTCTACTCTTCTTTCTTCTAATCTTTCTCTTCTCTCTGCCTCTTCCCTGCTCTGCTTTTCATCTGTCCATATTGTCGGAAGTTTGACTTCTAAACTTCCTTCGACTAAAATGGTGCGCCTCCAAAGTAAACAGCCCAGGGGTGAATCAAAATCCGGGGTTTACATCCCAAAGTCGATGCTTTCTCATGTTCCATCGCCCTATGAAATGACATTTTCCATGGGGGACCCCATTTTCACATCCGGCCAGGTGGATGTCTTCCTGAAATCCCTGGCAGAAGTCTACCGACAGGACCTCACTGAGCGTTCGCCGGGACGCAACAAGAGGGATTGATCCCGCGGTCAGCTGGAGCTGGAAAGCACTGGGAAGGCTTTAGCACCCAGAGAAGGTATATACATATATAGAGATTTAGCATGATTTAGCACCAATAGCCATTGTATTCCCATTATAATAACTAATGATATCCCCTCTATAGCCCATTGATTTTTCCCTTCTATCCCATTATATTGCAGTGAAACTATATCTCCATTATATCCCAATTATCGTCATTATTCATTATATCCCCCTATATCCCGCATTCTATCAGCATACTCTATTTCAATCAAACGCTGAACTCTTTGGATTAGAACCCACTAATCCTGAGGAGTAGTTTATCAACGTGAATTTCATAGCCAAAATCATGGTGATTTGTTTCGTTTCGAATCTGCGAGCGCAACATGTTTCCATCCGTTCGCCACCTGGCCTGACCGGGATGGCCTGAAAAACCGCAGCCTGCAGTTCGTGCAGAAATGCTGTGGCTGGAGGGTTTTTTGGGTGTAACTTCAAATGTCATAAAAATTGGTTCGAAAGTTGAATCATTACAAGTATGGGTAGTTCAGGTGCCCGGATCACCATCGATCAAGTGCCATCATTTGATCAACAAGCACACACCCATTTCTACTCTTGTAAAGTTGACAACGCAATATAAGATGTGTGATCCTTCGTGGATATGCTCGGTGGCACAGCACATGCGTTGCTTTGTTGCCAAGGGTGATGTTGTCGTTTCCAGCCAAGTAAATGATACTAAATGTAGATTGATGCTGGTTGATGCAAGCAGCGGCACCAACTGTTTATTCAGTATGATGCATCTTGGCAGTGGGTTTCGGCTGTAGGCTCAAACCGCGCCAAAATATCTAGCGCTTTGACAGCGATGTTGGCATGAACCAATGTTGGGAACGGCAGAAATTAATGGAATTTCGAGGTTTGCAGCAAACATTCCCAACACCGGTAGATGACTTTGAATATTATCGATGGTTGAAACTCGAGCACGCATCCGAAGAGAGATGAGATCAGAAACGAACAACAGACGTTTCTGATCTCATCACTCTCAGCTGATGGCCTGACTGCCTGAGATGCCTTTGGCAAAATTGGAATATCAGAAGCTGGGAGCTTTGCATATGTTCAGTCTTTTTTTGCATCATTTGGCTATCTGTCAGCTCAAAACTTCGAAAGCCAGCGGATAATCCTGGTCTATTTGGTATGTATGATCCCAATTGACGAATAATCCATAATGATCCATGATAATCCACAAAAGTATACATCTTCATTATACATAGGAATGATATATACGTATATATATATATACATAATATATAATTATATATACAAAAATCCAGTCCAATCCACACTACTCATTATCCCCATTTTTTTTGGGTGGGAGTTGGCTCCACCAGGAAAGTCATCCCTGGCAAGCGCATCGGTCGCTACATCGACGAGTCCTCTCAGGATGACCTGTGGGATATCCCGGAGGAGACGGAGGTGGGGATGGATCCTGTCGATCGTTGGCTAAGGGCTGGACAACATTACTTCATACGCATGGGCCACATGGGAATATGATTGGTAAATATTGGAAAATGGATATGTCAAACTGCTAAAAATGTATCTATATGAATGTTCGTGTATTATCTTGGTTGCTAGGAATTATTATGTTAGAATAATCTATGATAGACTGTGATCATCTGGGAAGTCCAAGTCCTCAATAACACCACAGGTCCTGGCGAGCTCGCGCAGGTGGAGATTCGAAATGCTCGTTTGTTGGACGGCTTATCATGGACGACTGCTGGATTTGAGCTTTTACATGCACCAAGCACGACTCTCAGCTGCAATCGCTGGGCCTTTTTGGTGATCAATTCAGCTTCAGGCTCAAAATGCCCCCCCGCACTTGCTGGGAATTGGTTCATCCTTGATGCATGTACCCCAAAATACGCTCTGAGATCGACCATTTTAGAGGACATCAGTCTTCCAACCCCCAACGCCCAACTCATGTCACAGGGTCTAGTTTGGAGGATGGTTTTCTAAATCTAAATCCGTCCAAATTATCCCTTCAGTGTGGTGAACGCCCCATTTTAGGATGAAGAATTTTCGCGATGACGACGAGGTCCAGAAGGCAATGCCATGCCATGGCTGGGGCTGCTTCAAAAGGTTGGATGTATTTTGTTTTTGATTTTAACCATGTTTTAGCGTCAAGAAAGACGGGCAAAATAGTTTGAATGTTCAGTGAAACCGAGGGTGTCACCAACATTCCCCAACTCACATGGAGATTGCAAAAAGAAATGCTGGAGATTTGGTCCGACCAGTTATAGGCCTCCAGTCTCTACACAAGAAGGCGCCAATATTTTATCACACGTGAACTTTAGTGAAACGTCGCTGGCTACCACGGACGGTTTCTGAACACAGTTGGATCCTTCCTAGATGGCGATCGCCGGTGAGCAATTGCAGGTGTACTATGCAGAAGTTGAGCAACTTCTCAAAGACACGCTGGAGAAAGCTGGTTCGAAGGTTGAGCAGGTCATGGTCTTTGACCATACGACGCTAGCCAAATCTTGGTGAATGGTGAAGGGGTCGCCATTTTGAGTACGGCCTATTTGATATCCTGCTTAAAAAATGAACCTTTTGCATAGCATCCAAGGGTAGCCATGTATTGGTCAACCCCGGAAAAACAACCCCCCTACGGTCAAATAGAACAATGATATTTTTGATGATTTTTGAGGCTGTTGGAAAACCCACTGGCCCGGAGCGTCAATGAGTGGTCATGCTGAACTTAGCTTCACATAGGAACCCATGGGAGTCAACAAGGGTGAAATTAGTTGCATTGATCATTGAAGCATAAATGAAGGAAACAACAGTAGAACAGTGAAAGAATGATACATGATACGTTGAGAATAATGAAGGGGAAAGGGACAAGAGAACACATGGAAACCATAAATGAAAACAACGAACAAGAAAGAACAAAGAACAAGAACGACAACGAAAAAGGATAATGAAAAAAAGGAAACGGAACGGAGCAGGACAATATTTACTCTACATCAGGTGAAGAGGAGAAGGAACACATAAATACATGGGCGACATACAAGAAAGCAAGTAGCAAGAAAGAACAAAGAACAAGAAAGACAAGTTAAAAAGGATAATGAAAATTACCAGAGAAAGGAAAAGAACAAGAAGAAGGACAAAAAAAGGACAAGAACAACACAAAGGGATAATGAACAGAAAAAGGCAAAGAGAAAGCAAAAGGACAATAAAGAAGGTTAACGAAATAAAAGGGAAAAACGGAACATTTTTTGGTAGAAAAAGAAAAGCCAAAGTAAAGGACACAAAAGCAGAAGACAAAGGAAAAGACAAAGGAAAAAGGCAATAAGAGAAAAACTAAACCCATGGGGCTGAGATGCGCATTATTAATTGGGGTGGTGGGCTTGTATTTGACACTACTCATGGGGCTAGAGATACCTTTGCATCCTTGTGCGAGCTTCCAAAACCATAATTTTTTTCGCAGCAAGTAATCAGATATTTATTATTTCAGGGATGGTCTTTATTTTGTTCAAATGTAAAAGAGGAGCAAGATTGGGAAGAAATCAGGTGAAGAGGGAGGTTTAGCCTCAGGGTCAGCACCAAGGTCATCACTGGGGTGAATCAGCATGATAAACAGGGAGGGGTCAGAAAAACACCCCGAAAATTGCAGTATCAAATGGGCGCCACCCAAAATCTGGAGTTCCCCATGCTTCATTGATATAGATTGAAATCCCGTTTGACAGAGTTTTGAGAAAATTGTATTGAATCACGTAACTGCAGCCACCCACATGGCTCATGTTGTGAAGAATTTGGGTGACAACTAGTAGATTTTCACAACGTAGGTCAAAATAAACTATGCTCAGAAGACAACAGGAACCATCTTACAACAGCTCACTGGACTTGATCCACAGCAGCAGCGGTTGGTGTTGGGCATGACCATCGCCAGCTGCTGGCAAGCAGCCATTCGAGAAATATTCTACATTCTTCAATTCTTCAATTTGTTTCGCTCTTGTTTGGAAATATTGTTTAACTGTTAAGTATGTTTTTCTTGGTCCTTGGTTTTTAAATGTATGGTGTTTAAATCTATTTGTACCTTATTTTTTGCAGACAGAAGCCTTGCCGGCTGCTCAAGAAAACGATTTTCTATGAATCTTTCAATAAGGCCCGCCGCAGGCAAAGCATTGAATTTCACTTGTTTTTTCAAAAATGATCGTGGAGAAAGTCGAAATTCCTTAAACTCAAGGCCAGACCTTAAGTTTAAGGAATTTCCGGGGATATAAAGAAAAGTAAAATAACATAGATAGTAAAGACAACGTAAAAATAGAAAAATAAAATAGATAGTTGAATAAATAACAATAAACAATACCTAAAGAATCATAAGAAACATATCAAAAACATATCAAGTAAAAACATAATAAGTTCACAATAGTTCACAATAAAGAATAAAAAAGAACAAAACAACATAAATGAATTAAATATATTCAAAAGTTTAATACATGTTTGTAGTGTATGTTTAAACTTTGCTTTCAGACTGATGGAATCAATGCTTTTTGGGTGACGATCCACATGCTCAAAAGTGGCGCCTGCGGCGGGCCTTTTTTAAAGATTCATAGAAAATATTTCTTTGAGCAGCCAGCAAGGATTCTGTCTGCAAAAAATAGACAGTAAAAAATACTTTGAGAAGATCTGCGTTAAAAAAAGACAAAATCTGGGCCGTGTCTCAAAATTAGTTGCACAACTCTATTTTCAGCCAAGGATGCCCCCCGCGTTTGGTTTGATAATTTTTGCATACTGCATGCACCTTATTATCCTTATTTCCGGGGACTGAACTTAAATACAAGCCCGCCACCTTATTTATGAAAGATAACAATGTGACATTTATATATATATATACATACATAGCACGAACATGATATCTAATATTTAGATATACATCTATCATATATATATACACATGTGCATATACACATATGTATATATATATACAGATATACATATCTATGCGCAGAAGTTCAAATGTGTGTGTGTCCAATATACTACTCGTACAGCATCCCTCCAATCCATTTCCCAGGATTCGTAGCAGCACTGCCTCAAATCTCAACACCTTGGGCGCCAAAGCCAGCATGGCTGGTCCAGTGACCCGGGTGCACGTGGATTACAATGAGGTGTCAGCACCCAAGCGACTGCAGCAGTTGGCAGAGAGACCTGGATATACTGGTGTTCAGCTGCGGGCGGATGCTGAGAAAGCGCCTGTAAAAAATGAGTTTTTCGAAAGATCGTTTTTTGAAGGTCGTTCACTTGTCATGAGTTGTGTCCATTTTGATGTTTTCATGTGTGCATGGCCAAGAATCATGTTGAAGGAAATTATGAGAAAAGATGTGGCGCCTTGCAAGGTCCTGGGCTCTGGCCAACGCTTTGCATTCATCAATGTCTGGTGTAGCATCGTTGCTCGATGTTTTACGAGAGCTGCCGCTGTGTTGTTAATTCCGAGATTTGAAGGGATGCTTGTTCTTGATATCCATTGTCAATCATACGGCGATCGCCATCACCAATGCTGTTTACGAATGTTAGTAAACCGCAAAATGCTCGTTGTCAGCTGGGATGGTTCGCCAAGAAGACAAAATGCTAGTTTAAGATGCGATGGGCTTTCATTGTATAGTTTGAGCTTATTCCAAGGATCCGGACCATCCAGTCTTGCAATGTCCTTTGGCTCTGTGTGATCCCGGATCGGTTGACGCCAATGACTGGATCTCATACGAATCTGTGCAGAGTTTGTTTTCTTGTTTTTCCCCAAACAATTTACTGTTAGGGGTTCTCAGTTCTTTCTGAAGATGTGTCCGCCTCTTTGTGACTGGTGGTGTCCGCCTCTCCGGTCTTGTCTGTGTCTTGTCTCCCTTCATTTGTCTCCCTGAGTGGTGGTGTCCGCCTCGCCGGTCTTGTCTGTGCCTTGTCTCCCTTCATGTGTCTGCCTGAGTGGTGGTGTCCGCCTCTCCGGTCTTGTCTGTGCCTTGTCTCCCTTCATTTGTCTCCCTTCATGTGTCTCCCTGAGTGGTGGTGTCCGCCTCTCCAGTCTTGTCTGTGCCTTGTCTCCCTTCATATGTCTCCCTGAGTGGTGGTGTCCGCCTCTCCGGTCTTGTCTGTGCCTTGTCTCCCTTCATTTGTCTCCCTTCATTTGTCTCCCTGGGTGGTGGTGTCCGCCTCTCCAGTCTTGTCTGTGCCTTGTCTCCCTTCATTTGTCTCCCTTCATGTGTCTCCCTGAGTGGTGGTGTCCGCCTCTCCGGTCTTGTCTGTGCCTTGTCTCCCTTCATTTGTCTCCCTTCATGTGTCTCCCTTAGTGGTGGTGTCCGCCTCGCCGGTCTTGTCTGTGCCTTGTCTCCCTTCATTTGTCTCCCATCATGTGTTTCCCTGAGTGGCGGTGTCCGCCTCTCTGGTCTTGTCCGCCTCTCCGGTCTTGTCTGTGCCTTGTCTCCCTTCATGTGTCTCCCTGAGTGGTGGTGTCCGCCTCTCCAGTCTTGTCTGTGCCTTGTCTCCCTTCATTTGTCTCCCTTCACGTGTCTCCCTTCATTTGTCTCCCGTCATGTGTCCCCTGAGTGGTGGTGTCCTTTGGCACACTGCATTGTCAGGGCTGGTAATGGCAATGGTAGCGGGAGTGGCAATGATATTGGTCGTGGTAGTGGCAGTGGCAGATGGTAGTAATGGTAGTGGAAGTTATGGTAATGGCAGTGGTAATGGTAGGTTGGAGTGGTAGTTGTGGTTGTGGCACTGGTAATGGTAGTGCTACTGGTAGTGGTAGTGGTAGTAGCGCTGGTCTTGGTGGTTTTGATAGTACTGGTCGTATAAGTGGCAGAAGTAGTGGTGGTGGTGGTGGTGGGAATGTTGAGTCATGGATGACAAAGCGAATCCACTGATGGACCCACAGGTAATTGAAATGCCCCAGAATGTAAAGTGTAGAATATACAGTATTCGAAATACGGCACCTGCGACGCAAAATAGCATTCCAGACAGGACGGATCTTCGCCAAATGTTGTGCCTGCCAGGCACAATGAAGATGGAAGTCTCCAAAGTGCTTTGCCTGCGACGAAAAATGCAATTCATCTTTGGACAACGACGCCAAAGCATTGCGTCTGCCACAGAAAACGATTTTCGACACGTTTGCAGATACGTGAGAATGTCAGGACGTGCCACGCTGGCCTGTAAAACGACATTACAACCAGCTGTGATACCTAAAGAAACGACACGAGACATGTTGGAGCTGCAAAACGCATTTAGTGCGAGACATCCTCAACTTTTCACACTTCGTAGCTTCAAAATGGACATTTTCCGAGAAGTTTTCTCATGAACCTCAAAATTTGCTACCTCGCAAAACGCCACCACGGAACCACGTTGTCATCACTACCACGACTACGTCTACAACTACCACTACCACCACCACCACCACGACTACTACTACTGCTGCTACTACTACTACTACGACGACTACGACTACGACTACAACAATGCTACGACTACGACTACGACAACGACGACGACTATACTACTACGACGACGACGACTACTACTACTACTACCTCTACTACTACTGCTACTACTACTACTACAACAACTACTACTACTACGACTACGACTACGACTACGACTACGATTACGATTACGACCACGACCACGACCACGACTACGACTACGACGACGACGACTACTACTACTACTACTGCGACTACTACGACTACTACGACTACTACGACTACTACGACTACTACGACTACTACGACTACTACGACTACTACTGCTGAAGCTGCTGCTGCTACTACTACCACTACTACTATTACTGCTACTGCTACTGCTACTGCTGCTGCTGCCGCTACTACTACTACTGCTACTACTACTACTACTACTACTACTGCTACTGCTACTGCTACTGCTACTGCTACTGCTACTGCTACTGCTACTGCTACTACTACTACTACTAATACTAATACTAATACTAATACTAATACTACACACAACATTACATTGTTACACCTATTACGCCAAATTACATTAATTAATCTACACGAACCGACATTACATTGCACTACATTACGTACATTTTTTTACAAGTACAACTAAAACTACACTGATTATATACATTACACTACAGCTAGAACTCCACTACACTAGGACTACAACTACAACTGCTCTACACCACAGTACATCCAGCAGTTGTGGGTGAGGTGACTACTGCAACCATTGCATCCACTCCAAAAACACAACTCCAATTACCTTTCGGTCCATCTGTGGATTCGCTCTGCCATGCGTGATTCACCACAAGCAACCGCTCCCATAGGTTCCTATTTCTGAAACTTTTGCCCGCTCCTTGCCCGGTACCACTGGGAATTTATCTGGAAATATTAGAAGGAAAAAAAGGTCCATCATGTCCAAAGAAAAAAATTGCAATTTAAATAGAATATATATACTTATTCTTCCCCAAACAGTGTACTGGTTGGGTTCTCTTTGCTTACTTACAATGTCCGGTTGGATGGTGTGTCCGCCTGCCCGAAATCTCGTTTCCCCTTGTCTCCCATTGTCTCCCCACATGTGTGCCTGTGTTGATGGTGCGTCCGCCTTCCCGAGGTCTTGTCTGCCCTTGTCTCCCTTGTCTCCCACTGTCTCCCCACATGTGTCCCTGTGTTGGATGGTGGGTCAGCCTTCAGAGGGTCTTGTCTCCCCTTGCCTCCAATTGTCTTGGATGGTGTGTCCGCCTTCCCGAGGTCTTGCCTCCCCTTGTCTCCCATTGTCTCCACACACGTGTGCCTGTCTTGGATGGTGCGTCGGCCTTCCCGAGGTCTTGTCTCTGCTTGTCTCCCATTGTCTCCCATTGTCTCCCATTGTCTCCCCACATGTGTGCCTGTGTTGGCTGGTGCGTCCGCCTTCCCGACGTCTTGTCTTCCCTTGCGTTGGCTGATGCGCCCGCCTTCCCGAGGTCTTGTCTGCCCTTGTCTCCTAGTCTTCCCGCATGTGTGCCTGCGTTGGATGCTGTGTCCGCCTTCCCGGGGTCTTGCCTCCGCTTGTCTCCCATCGTAAGGTGTGTCCGCCTTCCCGAGGTCTTGTCTCTCCTTGTCACCCGTTGTTTCCCCTTATGTGTGCTGCCCTCGCCTTCCCGAGGTCTTGTCTCCCCTTGCCTCCGCTTGTGGCCCAACGTCTCCCACATATGTGTGCCTGTGTTGGATGGTGCTCGCCTTTTTGAGGCGAGCCTGTGTTGGATGGTGCGTCCACATTCCCGAGCTCTTGTCTTGCCTGGTCTCCCAGCTTCTCTCCCATGTCTCCCCACATGTGTGCCTGTGGCGGATGATGCGCCCGCCTTCCGAGGTCTTGTCCCGCCTTGTCTCCCTGTGTTGGATGCTGTCTCCGTGTTCCCCCGGGCTTGCCCCCCTTTGTGTCCCTTCTTATTTCCCTATCTTGGATGGTGTGTCCGCGTTTCTGAAGCCTTGTCTCCCTTCTTATTTTCCTTTGTTGGATGGTGCGTCTGCCTTCCCGAGGTCTTGTCCTCCCTTGTCCCCCCTTGTTTCCCATATTGTCTTCCCGCATGTGTGCCCCACATGTGTGCCTGTGTTGTGTGACCGCCTTCCCGAGGTCTTGCCTTCCCTTGTCTCTTTTTTTCTCCACATGTGTGCCTGTGTTGGATGGTGCGTCCGCCTTCCTGAGGTCTTGCCTCCGCTTGTCTCCCATAGTCTCCCCTTTTGTGTGCCTGTGTTGGGATGGTATGACCCACTGTCTCCCATTGTACTCCCTACATATGTGCCTGCGTTGGATTTCCGAGGTCTTGCCTCCGCTTGTCTCTCATTGTCTCCCCACAAGTGCGCCTGTCCTGGATGGTGTGTCCGCTTTCCCGAGGTCTTGTCTCGCATGGTCTTCCTTCTTGTGTCCCTTTGTTGGATGGTATGCCCGCTTTCCCGTCTTGTCTCCCCTTGTTTCCTATGTCTCCCACTGCCTCCAATTGTCTGTCATTGTCTCCCCACATGTGAGTCCGCCTTCCCGAGGTCTTGTCTCCCCTTGTGTCCCTTCTTGTTTCCCTTTTGTTGGATGGTGCGTCTGCCGTCCCCTTGCTGTGGATTATCTCCCATTGTCTCCTTTTTTGTTTCCCTTTGTTGGATGGTGTGCCTTCCTGAGGACTTGTCCCCCTTGTCCCCCAGCTTGTCTCCCAGCTTGTCTCCCAGCTTGCCAGGTTGTCTTTCCTTCTTGTTCCCTTTGGTGTCCGCCTTCCAGCTTGTTTCCCTTCTTGTTTCCGTTTCTTGGATGGTGCGCGCGTCTTCCCGAGGCCTTGTCTCCCAGCTTGTCTCCCAGCTGGTCATTGTTCTTGTTTCCCTTTGTTGGGTGATGTGTCCGTCTTCCCCCTTGTCTCCCACGTCTCCCTTCTTTTTTCCCTTTGTTGGATGGTTTGTCCGCCTTCCCAAGTCCTTGTCCCGTTTGTCTCCCAGCTTGTGTACCAGGTGTACCAGTTTGTCTTCCTTCTTGTTTCCCTTTGTTGGAGGGTGCGTCCACCTTCCTACGGTCTTGTCTCTTTTGTCTCCCAGCTTGTCTTCCAGCTTGTTTCCCAGCTTGCCCCCCAGCTTGTTTCCCAGCTTGTCTCCCAGCTTGTCTCTCCCTTGTCCCCCAGCAAAAATTTTCGCACGCCGAGAATTGCGCAGACTTGAAAGTTCACAGAGCTCCGGGATTGAAAATGATGTGTCATCTTTCACTTTCATCCTTCGATGTTTTCAACACATCCAATTTGACAGTCCTATGCTGCTTGCTTCGAGCGTTTGGATGCACCCCCATCGGATGCTTCCTTCGCCGTTTTTCGGCATCTAGCGTTGCAACAAAGCAAGCGAAGCCGAACAAAATAAACGTACACAAAGTGGTCTGTGGCACTTTTTGCAGATATGTTCATTAATCCTGCTGCTGCTATTTCATGTCTTTGGCCTTGTTCCCCAAAACATTTCTTGAATCCACCCACTGTTTGGGGTCTACAGTGGTGTAATTTTTATTGTGAAGTGTTCCTTAAAACTTAAAACTTAAAATGGCTCTTGTTCCTTCATTTCTTTCATTAGAAGAACCCTGAGAACCTTAGCTGTACCCTTTTCTTGGTCTTATGCGTCTTGAGGAAATGGTCTACCCTGACCGGATTGGGAGCAGATTCGCTTTGCCGAAGAAGAATTCATCGGCCCACAAATGGTTTTACTATCCTGAGATGAAGATGGAGGAATGCTTGATGTTTAGTTGCACCTTGGCTGAAGATTGCAAGAGCAACCAGGCGATCCAAGCGTGAAGCTATAGGATGCCCACGTGGGCGGGCACTAGTTTCCAACATTTCTATCTTTCCACGCAGATATTGGGAAGCAAAAATCGTGTTTACTCGTTTGTGATGTTGGATGACTTAAAGTCTTCATTTTACCATGTTATAGACGAGTTCGTTAGTTCAGTTCAGAAGATATTGGCAGATTGGCCACCAAAACATGCGTTCTTCAATGCCCTGGTTGGTCGAAAGTTGGTTTCATTCTTCATAGCTCTTAGATTTTCAAAAAAATCCGATGGAAAATGATGAGAAATTATTAGAACCCTCAATCGAGCAATGATCAACGTAAAATTTACGTGGCTCCTGACAAGGAGCTGCACAGTGAGGTTTTGACAGTCGCCAAGATGGTCCTCGCTTTGTTTTCCATTGCGCTTTTGATGACCAAACCGCTTCCAGCGATATTCCTCGACGCTCGATAGAGGTACGAGCAATCGTAATCTTCAACGAATATCTGATGGTCAGGTGACGCTTCTGCTGCAAAAAACATGCAGCTTCAGTTTGTAAAAACCTATGGATGGCGGTGCGGAAACGATTGATAAATCCTTATGCTTAATGCTTGATTCCTCCTAATATGTAGGTTTATGCTGCCATATTCACGCTTACTTGTCTCATATAATCTGATATGCAAACAAGTTGCATCAATTTGCTATTTAAATAAAATAAACATAATTTCAATAGGTAGAAAAAAACATATATAGATCAAAGCACAAACTACAATGAGACTTAAATGTATAAACAAAAGCAAACTTACAAATTGATGTGTTTTTGGCGTTGGATAGTAAGTCGTTTAAATTGATTTAATATCTATATATATATAATATGTATATATTGTAGTTTCTTTTTACGTGTAATTTGATTTCCTTAAACTGAATTTACAAGAGTTTAATATGTCGAGCCGAGTGTTGAATGTGGCGTGTAGATATCGTTTAGAGTGTGGAGTGTAGAGTTAAGAGCATAGAGTGTGGGGTGTGGAGCGTGGAGCGTCGGCAGCATGGGGTGTAAAGTCTTTAGAATGCAAATTGGGGTATGCAGAGCGCGGAAATAGAGAGCGGGGTCTACGTGCAACAAGTGCAATGTACAAGAATGTATAGACCACACAAATATGCGGAAAATAGTGTGCGATACTCGCTTATAGTGAATTCACCCCGCCTGATCCAAAATCTTGCGTTTAATTGGGGGGGACTTCCCGGGAAAGTCCTCCCAATATGCGTTTAGTTGTTGTGGAGTAGTTGCGTAAGATAGAAAATTATGTTTTTGAAGTAAATATTGGTTTATCTAGTTTGTGTTTATATTGGTGAATTTGTTGGTTTGTTATGTTTGGCTTATTTATGAAATCGTCGAGTAATTATAGTAAATGCTAGGTTGATGGTGGGTTGTTGCTAAATGTCTGCTGGATATAACTATATTCGGATTCCCCGTGATTTAACACTTATATGAGGATTTAATTTAAATCTATTTATAATAAATATATTTATTATATTTTAAATATTCGAATTAGATATATTTTATAATAAAAATATATTTTATTTAAAAGTATAGAAATTATGTGTATTTATGGTATATTCTTATTATTTTTTTATTTTTGTTTTTACTAATTTGAAATTATTGATGGATATTGACAATAATTTATATTTTTGTGATATTTTATATATTTGGAATAATATTTTTTTGATTTTTATTATTTTCGTATTGGGTTTATAATAATTATGTTGTTTCGGTAGCGTCCTTTGTAGTCCGAAACCCCAAGCCTATTACACGAAGTACAGGTTGGTGAGCGTAGTGCAGCCTTTTTGGTTCGGGCTGCTAGAAAGCGTAGCTAGGCCCTGTCACCCATGGGAGTCCCAGGTACGAACGTGCGCCCTAGAAATGGTATTGGGCCGACAAGGCCATATGAGAAAGGCAATGTGACATGCCAAATCTGAAACAGTGAAAGAAATCCCTATTGCGTAGTACGCAATTCACACCGGTGGAAGTATGAGGGATAAAATTTGAAAGGAAATTTGGTGAAAAACCGCCGCTCAGTCATCCCAGGTGCCAGGCGTCAAAATGCCGCCCAAGGTATGCGAGCACAGGGTATAGTAGTTCTTTTCTTGGATCTCCTGCGTCGCAAATCGTCTTAGGCACTGAGGATCTGCATGCCAGCAGCGGCCACTTTTTGTAAAGAACACAGGTGCTTGGGTTAGGTTGTGTAGGTTCGCCTGGTGGCTACGTTCCTGTGCACGAAGTCTTTCGTTCAAGGTCTCGTAGTAGATATCTAGCTCCCTATGATGGGTTTCCTGCATGGCGTTGTGCACATACAAGGGCACCATCTCCTCTTCGATCACAGAGACCAGTCGTTGCGTCTCTTCGTAGTGCTCCTGGATAGGTACTATCTCGTGCATTCCCACGTCAGTTTGTGTTGCGACTGACATTATCACTGGTGTACTCACCTCTTCGAGGTTTTCTCCTTCAGTGGCTGTATCAGCCCTTCCAAAGCTTCTCCATCTCTTCTATCCGCCCAATACCAAGATGCCGATGGCAATCGCCAGGATCGCGGTGTAGAGCGGCTTTAGCATGCCCAGGTAGAGGTCGTTGTAGGTGAAGGTTGTGTTGTTGGTGGTGTCCAAGTAGGTCACTGAACTGCCGGTCCAGTACATTGCAAACATCGCTTGTAGAGCTCGCTGAGGCTTCTTCATTGCATATATCTTTGAGTTTCTTTGTCTTTCTAGAGGTGTCTTGTTTTTCGCAGCTTGGAACGTAGTGTCGCTCTTGAGCTTCACCAGGTGGGTTCGAAGTCGTTCGGCCAATAGTTGGGTAACCGTCTGTTTGGTGAGTTCATCAGCGTATTGTTGTTCTGATGATACCCAGCGGGTCTTCGCTGAGCAACAGGCCAATTTGTCCTGTGTCACCAAAATTTCTATGGTGGTACGTTTGTCTGTACCACTGCTTGCCTGAACTTCAGGCTTCACCAGCAAATCGTAGAGGGCCTTCGCGTCCACGATGAGTGCCGGTTCCACTGGCATCTTCGGCGTCTGCAGGTCGTTGAGGACCAACCAGGGCTTCCAGATCAGATTCCAGAAGGTACAGGTGAACAGCAGGCTGTCCGCAGCTTCAGATGCTGCTTGAGACTCTGCCGCCAAAGTGGACCTTGAGATCCTTGCCAGTTTCCAGCTGCGCCAGTCCACCAGGTTGTAGTGGCCTTCAGCTCCTTCAGCAGTAGCTCGGTCCACCATGGCTACTATGTAGCCACCTTGACTGGAGTTGTCGGCACGGCAGGCGAAGCTTGCGTCCGAGAACGCTATGAAGGTCATGTCCTCCTTTCTCCCAAGGCTTCGAAATTCCAAGCCTACATCGCCGTTCTGCTTGGCGTACCGTAGGACTTTGTTTGCTTCCAAGAGAGTGGTTGTAGTAGCGGTGGTCACTGATCCAGCCATCATACTCACAGGGGCCTGAAGCCATGGAGCAGTCTGGGTGGCTGGCCATTGTAGTCCACCAAGGAGGCCTCGAAGCGCAGTTCTTTCGCCTTCGGTCACAGGCAAGACTTTCTGTTGTCTCTCTTTTGGAAAGCTGATTGGTTTCTGCTTTCCCAGGTAGTCAGTGTGGTGGATCTTCCAGTGGTTGTCTTCGATCTTGATGATCTTTGCCCCGCAGTAGGTGAGCTCCTCCTTCTCAGCACCACTGTGCCATTCTCGAAAACTGAAAGTCGATCTCAGCTTGTCCATGAGGGCTTTGGTTGCAGGGTCACGTTTATCACAGCATCCCAAGAGGTCATCCACATGAAGTCCAAAGATCGCCAAAAGGCGGGGTGCTTCAGCAGCTTCATCACCATCTTGTGGAAGTTGGATCGGCCGGTCGTAGGCCAAGAAGAGGCAGCTGTCTAAAGGGTGCTGCACTATGGCTCCATCGCCCATCTTCAAAATCCTTTCCACAGCTTCATCAAACCAAGCTTTCGGAGCATCCACTAGGCCATACATGGGCTTGATGAGCTTCATCACTCGGCCGTGTCCAGCTGGTAGACCAAGTAGATTATCAGCTTCACGGGGAAGCTTCACCCAAATTTCTCGTTCAGAGTCAGGGTCATAACTCTTGCCCTGAAGGAAGGCGGTCGAGATGTCGGCCGTGAAGGGGTAGTAGCCCAGCATTGATGCAATGCTCAGCACAAAGTTCCTGGAAAGACGAGTCAACGTAGGGCTCGCTGTAGTCAAAGTCCCGCTCAAAGCATCCGGGTCTTTGAACCCTTGACATATGAGCCTCGCTTTTGCTCGAGGGCTCCCATCAGCATTTGTCTTCCAGTTGAGGATGAACTTTGCATTGGCCTCCTCGTCGAAAACCCAGACGTCGTTCTGGAAGAACGAAGCTAACTCCTTCTGTTTGGCCTCCTTGAAGGCAAGTCGGTCCGATAAAGACATAGTTCTTTCGCTCAAGGGAGCGTTGGTCTTGTCCTCCTGCAGGTAGATGGTTTTAGCGCCAAAGCTCTTGTCCTGGAAGATGTTCTTGGCATCCTTTCGGTGTGGTGTTTGGATCTTGAACCGTGTGTAGCCAGTCCAGGTATGTCCTGTCAGCTGTCTGCAGGGCGTACCACGGGTCCATTTATCTCGGACCATTTGTCCATTGGCCAACTTGGTGATGCGTTGGCGTGCCAAACATCTCAAAGGCACAGGACAGTTGTCCTCTGTTGGAGTGAACTCCTTCTCCCGGGCCACATAGTGCATCCTCGTGAGATAGTTTCCCTCAATGCGCCACTCGTCCTCAATCTCCCCCAGGACCATGTAGCCGTTCTCATAGTTCCATCCCGGCGGCAAGTGGCTGTTGGGCAAGAGGTCAACCTCACAGGTGAACTCAATCTTGTCGTCGTGAACTCAATCTTGTCGTCGTCGTTGAGGGGCTTCTGGGAGTATGGAGTCTCTCTGACAGGCTGTGCAGTAGCAGGGCCATAGGATTCAGGCCTTCTGATCAGAAGGGTCTCCTGCCTTGCAACTCGAGCTCGTTGTTGAGCAAAGGACTCTTTGCTCTCAGGTGCAAAGAAAGGTTTCTGGCCCTCAGGGATCGGCAGGTGAGAAGTCGTCAGTGAAGGTGGTACCTGCGGCTCTTCCAAGGGCTCAGGCTCTGCATCAGCTGTTGTTGTGGCAGAGTGCAGGTGTGGTGCAGTTGAAGGTTGTGCACTGGAGGAAGTAGTTGTTACAGGTAGTGGTGGTGGTCCCATAGGAGCTTCTCCAGGTAGTTCATCATCCATGGGCCCCTCCGGCTCCTCACCATCATCATCTTGTTCGGAGTCCATTGGGGTGCCAGGTTCGTAGGGTTCGGAAATCCGGTCTGCGTCCACGACAAATGTCGTGGTACCAGTCCACACATAGTGAAGCTCTCGGTTCCCCTGAGGCACCTTCCACTCGTCTCTGATTCTCAGATGTTCTGGGTGAGGTGGTTCTCGACGAATGTCGGTGGTGCGCTCGGGCTTGAAGAGGTGCACAGGGACATTCTCAGAGAGTGTCGGGACATAGAGCGCCCGTCGAGGAATGTTGTGAACTCGCGTCCACAGCCTCCCA